CGGGCGTGTGAAGACCAAGTCGTGTCCCTCGCCCTCCTCATGATCTAGAAACTTCAAATTCGCTCGACGACCAATGCATCTCGGCAGGTTGAACCGGAGTGCGGCAGTCATGATACATGCAGGGCCTGGGCGCCCGACGCAGCGGTCCTTGCGTGCCGTCGCGCCCCTCCGACGTGTCTGGGCCTCGGGCCCCTTGCTTCGGGAAGCGGGGGGACGGAGAATAAAGGTACAACAGTTCCCGTCACCCACGCAACAAGCCACATTTTCAGTGCAAGGCGTCCAGGTCCGAAGGGCCCCCAGGGCCATGCAAGGACAAGACCCCCCGACTCGGGCCAAGATAACCCCAAGATTGCCCGAGGGGCGCCCAAGAGGGTCCCTAAGACGGCCTTGAAGCTCTCCAAGAAAACAGCAAAACGGCCCCAAAAAGCCTCTTGGGCTGTCTTGGGCGGTCGGGGACCCAAACATGCCAGGGACTCATTTACCCTACCTTCGACCTCAAAAATGGATGCGCGAATCACAACTGGCCCACAGAGCCGGCAGAGGCTTCCCGCCCTTCCAGAGGGGCCCCATCCTCAGGGCGCCCGAGGCAGCATCCTCGTGAGGGTCGCCACTTTCCGAAGGCTGGGTGGCCTACAGAGCCGGCAGAGCGCTTCAGTCCCTTCAGATGGGCACCATCCTCGTGAGGTCCCCACTTTTCGAAAGGCCAGGGCGCCCGAACCACAACTGGTCTACAGAGCCAGCAGAGGGCCTCAGCCCCTCCACAAGGGCACTATCCTCGTGAGGGTCCCCACTTTTCGAAGGGCCAGGGCGCCCGAACCACAACTAGCCTACAGAACCAGCAGAGGGCTTCAGCCCCTCCAGAGGGGCACCATCACCGTGAGGGTGCCACTTTTCGAGGGACCAGGGCGCCCGAACCATAACTGGTCGCCACTTTTCGAGGGGCCAGAGCTCCCGAACCACAACTGGCCCACAACAACAACCACAACAGCAGCAGCAGCAGCAACAACAACAACCACAACAACAGCAACAACACCAACAACAACGACTGTTCGCTCTTATCTGCTCGAGTGTCATTCAACGTGAATTTCACCAAACCCTCGACATCCGCCCTCTTCGTCTTTGATCGTACCCCTTTTGGGGGGTATATCTTTCTCCCCTGCAGGCCAGGCCCCGGCAAGCGGCGGGGCGGCCGCGGACCGTCTGCCTGGCCAGCGGCAGTGCTGATCGGCGGCAACCCGACCCCAAGAGGGACGGACAGGGGGCCGACCACGACGACGACGACGATGACGACGACGACGATGACGACGAGCGAAAGCGAGAGCGACAGCGAGAGCGACAGCGGGGCCACGAAGGGCAGGAAGGGGGCTACGAAGGGCGACAGCGGGGCCACGAAGGGAACGAGTATGGGGCCACGAAGGGCGCGAACGAGCGGGGGCCACGAAGGGCACATAATGTGGGGCCACAGAGGGCAACGACTGACGGTAGCAACGGGGCCACGTAGGACAGCGAGGAGGCCACAAAGGGCGACAGCGGGGCCACGAAGCGCATGCACATGGTGCCAGCGAACGAGCGGGGGCCACGAAGGGCATACATACGAAGGGCAGCGAGCGGGCCACGAAGGGCTGCAACGGGACCACGGAGGGCAGCGAGGGGGCCACGAAGGGGAGCAACGGGGCCACAAAGGGCGACAGCGGGGCCACTCAGAACAGCGAGTGGGCCACGAAGCGTTGCAACGGGGCCACGAAGGGCAGCGAGGGGGCCCCGAAGGGCTGCCACGGGGCCGCGAAGGGCAGCGAGGGGGCCACAGGGCGCAACGGGGCCACGAAGGGCAGCGAGGGGGCCACGAAGGTGCAACGGGTCCACGAGGGGCAGCGAGCGTGCCACGAAGGGCTGCAACGGGGCCGCGAAGGGCAGCGAGGAAACCACGAAGGGCTGCAACGGGTCCGCGAGGGGCAGCGAGGGGGCCACGAAGAGCTGTAACGGGGCCACGAAGGGCAGCGAGATCCCGATTCCAAAATAAGCTGTGAGGGAGTCATAAGCGTGAGCGCGACTCCTGGGCGCCTGAATGTCAGGAGCGCGGCACTCGAGTAAATTGCGGGAAGTTCCAACGAAAGAACGCGATTCTTGAGTGAATTGCATGCAAGTGTCCAACGAGAGCGCGATTCCAGAGCGCCGAGAGAGCGATTCCTGAATAAATTGTCAGAAGTCCCACGCGAGAGCGCCGATTCCTGAGTAAAATGCGAAGGAATCTCAAGTTGAAGCGGGGGTCCTGGCTAAATTGTGAGGAAGTTTCTGGCGGGAGCAGTCGTTGTTGAAACCCGGTGGCCACCAACGCAGTTTGAGCCGAATGACTTTCCCTTCTACAAACAAAGGAGGCACTTCAACTGAAAAACACAATGGTCACCGGAGGGGGGATCAACAATAATTATTCTTCAGCACTAGAGTTCAACAACAGCAGCAGCAACAACAACAACAGCAACAACACCACCACCAACAACAATAATAAATTTAAGACTGCTCGCTCTTATCTGCTCGCGTGCCTCTCGAAACGTGTATCCCGAAACATCGATACCCGCCCTGTTCGTTTTCGACTGTACCCCCTTGCGGGTATTCCCCAATCAGAGCTCGCCTCTGTAGGGGTCCTAGCGGATTCATATGGTCAGGTTAGCGTGGCCGCCGATTTTCGCTGCGCGCCGGCCGGGTGCCCGGGTGCCCTGGGGTGCCCGGGGGTGAGGTTGGCCGCCGATTTTCGCTGCATGCCCGGGTGCCCGGGGGGTGCCTGGGGCTGCCCGGGGGTGCCCGGGTACCCGGGTGCCCGGGTGCCCGGGTGCCCGGGCGTGCCTGGGGGTGCGGGGGGGCCCTATAGAGCCCTATAGCACAATAGCCCTACAACTCTATAGCCCTATAGCTCTATAACCCTGTAGCTCAATAGACCTATAGCCCCCTAGCCCTATAGCCCTGATTGGGGTCTTTCCGGTATCATATCTTTCATACCTGCAGCGCATATTTCGTGAAGCCCCTGATGTGGGGGAAGAAAGGACGGATCGAAGGAAGGACCAGGGTGAGGGAGGAGGAGCAGGAGGAGGAGGGGGGCTAGGAGTAGAAAACACGTGTCAGAACAAGACGGGCAGTTCGGGCGGGTAGACCATACCAGGCGGGTCTGGAAGGAGGGCCCAGGCAGCCAGGTCGAGCAGGCGGGATGTTCACGGGTGCGTCCTGCATGAATCGCGAGGAAGTTCCGAGCGACAGCTCCATTCCCAAATCAATCATGAGAAATTCCACAGCGAGAGCGTAGCGTGACTCCTGAATGTCGAGGGCGCGGCGATTAATGAATAGCGAAGAAGTCCCACGCGAGAGCGTGATTCCTGAATAAATTGTGAGGCAAGCCCGCGCGAGAGCGCGATTTGGGAATAAATTGTGAAGAGGTATCAGGCGGGAGCCGTTGTTGTTGTAGTTCGATGCCCAACAACGCAAGTTTAGGAGAAAGCTTTGCCATTCTAGAAAAACAGGGTGCGAGCCCCGGGAAGGGCGCTTCACTGGGAAAAATACATATGTTACCGGAGGGGGAGATCAAGTCACCGAGCCCCGTGCCCCACCGGCCTCCAGCGCGGCCCCCTCCTCCTGGGGCCTGACGCTCCAACCGCGCGAAGATCGCAGTCCAGCTTTGCCCGTCAAGGCTGTCCAGTTCGAACGCGCCCGGCAGGTCCAAGAGGGGGTCGCCCTTCTCCGCGGGGGCAAGGGCGGCGAATAGGAAGTCGCCATTTACGAAGCTGATCCCATTCAGACCCGCAGCGCCTCTTTAACCCTTCAATTGACCTCCTCCCACCACCTGGAGTTGAGCTCCTCCCAGGCGTCTTGCACGTGGACGCTCGTTCTTCTGCGGCCCCTCCTCATAAGGTCGAATCAGCGCGTCGAGCGCCTCTGACCGCTCGCCCCAATGCTCTTGGCCGTACACCAAGCAAGCCGCCCAAAAACCGTTCGGGGCCTGCTCGGCCCACTTGAGCACGTCCGCGGGCTGCTTGGGTAGTGCCTCTATCTTGTACACCGTCGGCGGCGCGCAGTCGTCGAACGGCTCCCCTGGGCGCGCGGCCCAGTCTGCGACACCCGAGGACCTGCGCGCCATCGCGTTCATCGGCTTTCCTCCCCACGATCAGGTGGCGATCCCGTGCGCGATCCGGTAGTTTGCGAGGGTGGGCCACGTGCGGAGCTTTGGAAGGGCGGCCGAGTGCTCGGCCATGCGGAGCAGCGCCTTCAAGAGGAACCGCCCCAAGTCGTTGGGGCAGATCGCGACCTTGAGATCCGCAGCGCTGAGCAGCCAACGCCCTTAACTCGTCTTCCCTAGTGATAGACTGGAAAGTGCCAATCCGACCTGCCTTCTCCCCCTCCACCCGCTTTTTCCGAACGTCCATGCTGTGTGCAACATCGGCCAGCAAGCTGGTAGCGGCGTCTCATCCGAGGGGGCCGGCCCGGTCCCCGAGGGCGCCCGACCTTCTCGGTTCCCTGGCTATCATGCCCTCCGCAGCTTGCCAATCGGAGCTGGTCCTCGCCCTCGGCCCGCGCCCCCAGTGGGATGCCAGCGGCGAGCGCGGTGGGGGGGAGGGGCCGATGCCTGGGGGCCCCACCAGTGGCGCCAGCGACCGCGCCCGCAGCGTCGCCGCGCGGCTGCGACTGGGTCGCGGGTCGAGATCTTCACGAACTCACGCGAACCACCCTCCTCCGGTAGCCGCCGCCTCCCCAGCCTGTGGCGCCTGCTCCTCTGGGCTGGGGCGGCCTCAAGCACAATTAAACAATTCCGCCGCTCCCGCGCCTGCCCTTCCAGCTGGCGGCGGGCGATGTGTGATGCTGCCGATGAATGATGAGATGATGGTAGTAGTAGCACTAGTAGTAGTAGTAGTATTAGTAGTAGTAGTAGTAGTAGTAGTAGTAGTAGTAGTAGTAGTAGTAGTAGTAGTAGTAGTAGTAGTAGTAGTCGTAGTCGTAGTGTAGTAGTAGTAGTAGTA